CTTGTCTGCGCCCGGCGCTGCCCGTCAGGGGGTGGGTGCGGCGCCGCCGGCCCCGCTAGCCCCGCGGCCGAGCCCCGGCACCCGGCCGCTCCGTCCTGCCGCTCGTGGGCTGGCTGTCAGTAGACCGCAGCTGCGCGCTCCATTCAGTCCCCGTAGCACTTGGTGCGAGATAAAGCCAAAGAACTCCCTTTGAAAGAATTGTTAGTATGCTTCACTTCTCGGACAGGACTACATACTTGTGCAACCCAGAAAGGTCCTTGGCAGTCTTACCATTAACTGCTGAACTGCGACAGTAACAGTTGCAGATCTTTTTTAAATCCTAACCTCTTTGCTTGAGTTGCTTCCTCGTTGGAAAGCTTTGCCGTTTTCCAGCATTCATTTTATTTTGAACAAGGCTGTATTTTTTTATTTACAGAGAGATGGCACGGGGAAGCCAGATACCAAGTAAATTAAGCTCTATTCTAAAACAAAAACAGAACCACACAAACAGGTGTACTCAGTCTCTTGCCACCATAGAAGCAGGCCTGTATGCATCCCAGTGTTGCAGCCAATACTTTAGCCATTCATTTAGCCCACGCTTTTGTTAACTTACTATACCTATGAGCACGTAAAAAATGCAACTGATATTCTAAGAAATGGAAACACTGATAATATAAAATAATTTATTCACATAATTTACATACAGAATACGACTACTTTCTTTGAAACAGAAAGCTTACATATGATGATACAGGGAGTCATACAACTCTAAGCAAAGCAGTCTTATGCCACATCTTTGTAAAAATGCTAAACTAATAGGCATTGAGATTTCATTGATCTTTTCTTACATCCTTCACCATTATAAAACTTTCATACACAGAACACAAAGTTGTCTTATCACTATTCAAATTAAATTTGTTCTTAAAAAAAAAATCCTCTAACAAAGTGCATGTGACTTACTGCAAGGGAAAAAAATGAGTAGCCCCAATTAACAAGGTAGATAAGGCACCTTAAATCTTAGTAATGAAATAGTTGTGGTTTTTTTTTTTCCTTGTAATATGAATGCAAGCTAAAATGTACACAACTAAATGTAGAATGGTTATCACCTCAGAAAGTACTTAGGGCAATTATTTTATAGCAACTCCCCACAAATCTTATTTTTAGGCTCTATCAGTGCAAGTGATTTAAACATGCCACATGTATCAAGAACTAAACACTTGCATACCTAAAATAATATCTATAAGATATACAATACATGGAGCTTTATGTATAGATTAATCTATTTCATAATGTTTACAGTAAGACAATATTTAGATAAACATTTCAAGTTAAATGGATTAGGCAGAGCACAAGATACTGAACAGAAGATGTGTGGGTGGTGTTTTTTTTTTTTTTTTTTTTTGGGGGGGGGGGGGGAGGGATGTTGACAGTATGCTTTCAAGTAAGTTACTTTACACTGGGACTGTTAGTCCCTTTTCCATCACCTCAAGAAGATACTGCTGCTAGCAACATTTGATTGACAGAGACCTGATAACATAGCAATCTGCAGTAACAGTAGCTTTTCTGTGTATTTTTCCTTGTTGACAAAATTTTAAAGGCTCCTTCAGAAGCTTTGCCAATAACTTCTGAGGAGGCAAACATGCTCAAACTTCAAGTACTTCAAAATTAATTAGATACTTATATGAAAATATTTGCCAGTAAATGATTATCCAGTCTGAAGCTGAAGACAGATTTCTTGAGAGCATAACAATACCATTTAAACATCAGTTGCACTTTCATAATAAATCATTTGTTTTGCAAAAGTACCTGCTGGTATTAAGTAACAGGAGAAAAATTTAGACTACTTAAATCTATACACTCATTTTTGTGTAATAAGCAGTTTCAGAATAAATATTGAATCTTTCAACAACCACCTGACTTTGAGACTGCATGAACCTTGTTACCTCATCAAGACAATCTTCTTGATGAGGCAAGTAAAAAGTTAGACCAAAATCTAAAGCTACACCAGCATTTCATAGCGAGTTACAGTATAAGTAGACATGCAACATGAGGAAAACCATTCAAATTCAACTGCTTCAAAGTAGCAAATCCTCAAAGCAACCACATTGTATAGTCATGGTTTAAATCCAATCTTTGTGCTACTTTGCACAAGGGAAACCAAGGAAGTCAGCAGAGATACAAACACCTACACATAAAACCAAGGAAAAGAAATGGTATCTATCCCCTTATTTTCAAATTTAGAAGGAAATTAGCATTTATGCTAGTAAACATTAACCTCTTCCTCCCACTCCAATAGGACAGTTGCAAAGATTAACATTGTGTAGCATCTTTTAGTAAATTGTGTTTTTCTGGTTGTTCTCAACACATTTTTAAGGAACTAAACCCATTTGGCTTTTCAGGTTAGGATCTTTTAATTTATGTAATTAAAAACTCTTACAAAAATATGCCATTTGGAGATGCTAATAAAAATACCTGCAGTGCTTGACATATGTATTTACTACACTACTTCCAGTATTTGCATCCTGATCTACAGAGATTACACTATGCATAAAAGGTTCATTCCTCCTTCTAACACACTAACATAACATACTTCACAAAAAGAAGTAAAGAACTTGTATAACCAGTACCACAAGCTTTAGCATTAAAATTCAAAGTGATATTTGTAACAAGATTAAGCATTTTTTCATTGCACTTTTCTGGAAGATAGTCATGGACCCGTTATTGGCGTCTAAACAAATGAAACTATAAGTGAGAAGCCGCTGGTCTGGTCCAATGACATCAATGTAGTGGTTTAGATGTCAACATTTTAAAAGTATCCAGGTCACTTCAGAAGGAATCCATTTCATCTTTATGGAATTTATTAACAACAGCTTGGCTGACAGTAAGTGTGGCATAATGAACATTAGAACAAATCAGAACTTTTTAAAAATATTCTTGTCTTGTTGCATTATACTATCAGATCCCAGGTTTTTATAAAGCCAATTTGCTATTCTGAATCATCCACTTCCATAAATATGTCACTGAAAAAATACTCAGAGATTCTGGTTGGCTCTTCTTCCTTTTCTTGATCTTTAGCACAAAGGGGTGGCTTCTCACATGGCTTGTTACTTGGAACCTAGTAGAAAAAGAAAAGGCTGCTCTTAACAGTCTTAATCTGTTTGTGTGTAAGTGTGTGTGCATATATATATGTGTGTGTATATATATATATATGCACAACTTCCTATCACAAAGGGGTGGCTTCTCACATGGCTTGTTACTTGGAACCTAGTAGAAAAAGAAAAGGCTGCTCTTAACAGTCTTAATCTGTTTGTGTGTAAGTGTGTGTGCATATATATATGTGTGTGTATATATATATATATGCACTTAACTTCCTATCTAAATTAGAAGCTCTAGACAAAAAATTCAGAGTTTACTGAAAATGGCAAACAAGTAGATATATGTGCAGAGAAAAAACAACTTAGTTCCCTTATAAGTTTCCTAGACATGTACAAGTCAGGATTTATTCACTGGAGCAGGTATCTCTCTCAAAGCATGAACACTACATACCCACTTACCCACTCCTGAAACAACTAATTCACTGTTCTTCACATCTCAAAAATGCAAGGGCATTCAAAAGTAAACACATACCGTAACTGCAGCATCAGCAGCTACATTCTCATACTCCACAAATGATGATGTGCTTGTAGAGGGAAGGGAACAAGATTCCCTATCATCCTTAGTGGATGGAGTGGGTTTTTTTAGACTTCGCTTTGCAGTCACAATCCGAGGTTTTTGGATCTTCCCGCTATTCCCTTTGGTATCTTCTGCAGATTCAGAACTACTTTTTTTGCAAATTAAAGATAAAAATCCCAATGGTTTTCGTCCACCCCTGTTCAAAACAAATACAGTCAGGATGTCATAGGATTGCTCCATAAAAGGAAGATGTAAATAGTATTACAGGAGTTCAATTCATTACACAGGAAACACACATGTCCGAGATCTATGAAAATTCCAAGACAAAAAACCCAAAAAGTCATTCTGAGAAAGGCTTTTGTGTTACTGAATACTCTGGCACAAGAGTTTTTTGAAGAGTTACAGAGACTCTTGACAATCTCCAACCCTGAGAACAGGAACCTGTAAAAAACCTCTACTAAACCAGAGCCCTGTAACAAGCTACCAGATCCTCAGAAAGAGATTCCAAGAGGAATCAGTACCAGTTTTGGTACTCACACAAGCAAAATGAAAGAATAAACGACAGGATCAGAAGAGACTAGTGGAGCACCACAATCAAAATCAGCGAGCACAAGAGCAATAGAGAGCAGGAACTCAAACACTTAAACATTATAGAAAGGAATATTAAAAAAAAAATCCACAGTCAGATGGATAGATAAGAGGAATATCCTCTGACCTGTCAAGATTGAAACTCCTCTGGGGAAATGACACATCTTAAGTAGTCCTAAAAATCCAGTGTGCTCAGTACTATACCAGTAACAAATCTTATTGGCAGGAGGACAAAAATCAAAACAAGTGGATGAGTGTATGTATCACAACATTAGACTGAGCTAAGGAAAACAACAATTATCTTAAATCCATATCATAGCCAATGGATGTCTGCCTCATGAGGCATCTGTCAGCGTCTAAATAGACATACTATACGTCAGTAGTGTCCCTTGGTCAATCTGCTCATTTAATGAATAAAATAATTCAAATTTCGAAGCAGACAGTTTGATCCTTTCTAATTTGCTGAGGAGTATAGATACTGTAACCCTTAGCCATTTAGATCACAAACGATGGTACTGCCCTTCTTGTAAGTGGAAAAAGGATATAAAAACCTCAATATGGAAACAAGGTCTTTTTTACAGAAAAGGTTGACAAAACATTATTGCGTAAATACCTGAGTAATGGAGTTTTTGAAGATGATGCTGGGCTTCCAGAAAGTTCTAACTGTCCAGATTCATGCACATCCCCCTGCTTTCCTTGTCCGCTTATTTCTGCTTTTCTGTTAGAGGTTAATCTGGACATCACCTCCTCTTCCTGTTTGGATGCTGAATTCTCAAGTGGTGCTTTCCCGAAGTTCTCCAAAGTCTCAGGCTGGCTGCTCTCAGCCAGTGGTGACACAGACTCAGACACCAACACAGAGGTAAGTACTTTTTCCTTTGCTGAAGCCTCTGTTTTTTGAAAAGGATTCCCTGTAAAAGGAGTTGAGAGTCATTCAAGGACTTCAGTTATGTAACTTCAGTGATAACACAACAGCCCAAAAGATGCATGTGACGTTAAGATGGCTCGCACCATTACAAGAGAAGGGCTAAATTTTTGTTCTCCAAAGTCTCAGGCTGGCTGCTCTCAGCCAGTGGTGACACAGACTCAGACACCAGGTAAGTGGTAAGTACTTTTTCCTTTGCTGAAGCCTCTGTTTTTTGAAAAGGATTCCAGGAGTTGAGAGTCATTCAAGGACTTCAGTTATGTAACTTCAGTGATAACACAACAGCCCAAAAGATGCATGTGACGTTAAGATGGCTCGCACCATTACAAGAGAAGGGCTAAATTTTTGTTCTTTTTTTTGTCCTTTTTTTTTTTTTTTTTTGAAGTCACCACTAAGAATTAAAAGTTCACGGTCTACTTTTAAAGGCTGTAAGATCTTAAAGATTTATGGGGGAAAGCTGGTAGAAGTGTGGTTTTACAGCACACTGCTGCCCACAGCACACCACAGAACTTAGTCAAGTCATCTAGCTGTTTAATTTCCCTTTAAAAATCTTTTTCAGGGCCAAAAAGTAGTTCTCCAAACCCTTCACAGGCTCAGATCACTGAAGATTGCATTGTCAGCAGTTCTGCTTTCCCTCTAATTCTTCAGACGCAGATTAAGCTTTCAAACAATTACATTGTGCATATTTTTTTTTAAAAGACAAATACAAAATAATATAAAAATAAGTTATTTTGGCATAGTATGGTTAAAATACCAGTTAATACCTTTGGTTATTAGTGCTCTCCAACAGGTGGAAATATTTGCTTAAGAGAAGATACCATGTTTAGTCCAAAAAACCTCCCAAATTCACAAACAGACTATCTACAGCAATGTTTTTAGAACCACTATTAAATTAACAGCCAGTTATGTAATCCAACACATCTAGTTTATAGCAGAAAACATGGAATGGTGCTATTAGGGTATTACCGGGAAAATTTTTTTCTACTTTTATGTGAGATAGCATCAGACAGGACTATTTAAGCACAACAACAACCAGTATTAAACTGTGATGTAGTATGCATTCACATTTATTATACTTTGTTTTACGAGTTTAAGTTTACCTACCAGAAGCTATCACTAGAGCATTTGTGGATTTAACTGAATAACCCTGTATTTAAAAAAGAAAAAAAGAAGTTATTTCTCTATTTCTTTCAATATAGAAGAGACAATGAAAGTTGCTAAAGTCATCTCATGCAGTTCATACCAGTGTACAGTTCTAAGAACAGGAGTGATACAGAAGACTACATCTTCATCACTTAACTCATTTCCTGAGCAGGCTTTTCAAGGTGTTCTTATGACAAATGACTCAAGACAAGGATGTCAAGATGAGAGGTCAAAGAAGGAAGAGGATTGTTATTCAGTCCTTCCTAGAAAAGCTTTCTGAATCACGTGGGGAATTATCACCCATTCCCTCACCCAGACACACTACACAATATTAGCCTACTCACAAAAATGAATGGTAGTCACTGTGACAAGCTTGGTCATATTCTAAAAGCACAGAGGGAAGCTGGAAACATGCTGGCCATTTTATTTGCAGCTTGTTCTTTTAAACTAATACCCGCTATGTTAAAAAATGGTAGGAACGTATCTAACAACTTCTTCATGTAACAGACACCATGAGGAATCATAACATCATTCAGTGAACCTAGACAGTCTGCCAGTCATCCAATATACATCCAGAGTTTCCCCTCCTGCAATGTCATTGTTGGAAAGGCTGTCGTGAATAAACCAAACAAAACACATCACCAGTCTGCCTATTAGGAAGCCTAATAAAAAAACCCTGAGAGCCTACAGATTCTCAAAAAAATTAATACTAAATCAACAGCCCAAAAACTGTCATAAAGTTCAAAATAAAAAGCAATCTATGGGTGTTGATTTTCCCTTTAAGTTGTACAGGCAGTACATTTTTAAGCAAGTGACACCGTTAAACAATAAACATAATTAAAATGCTCCATTACGTGTTATGCATCTACACTATGCATAAACACGCACTTACCAAATTACCATCTCACCTTGTAAGTGGTTTCCAAGTTACCTTCCACTACAACAGTAGACAGAGTTTTCTTGGCAGGAGGAAAATCATTCTCTTCAAGCTCAGCAGCTGACCTTTTTTGAGTTGTCTGCAAATTTGGAATGGCCTCTACTGATGCACTCTCTAGTTGTTTGGTTTCCATACTGCTGTTTAAAGGTGCAGCAAATTCATCAGGTGCAGTTGTCAAGGATCCAATGCTGTTTATATATAAAGTCATTATTGTGACCAAGAAGCCAAAATTTACCTTGTATAACATTTTTGTATGGAAATTACACATGGATCTATGGTGATACTCTTTCTTGCTTAATGTCAATATTAACTTCAAATGTACTATTTACTACCAAGAAACATTTTGCTGTGCTATCTTGAGTTAGAGAATTGAGTTTTTCTAGTAATAATTGAATCTAGTTACTTTAGAAGCTGTTCTATTTGAACTCCATGTGATATTTTCATAAAATGTAAAAATATGACAACTGATAAACTGCCCTAGAAAATCCTAAAATACAGTATTATTTATATGCGCAGCGGAATCTTCATCCCCATGTGCCCAGACCCTTCCCCACACACCCCTCCCCCCCAGTATGATCTCAAAAGACAGCAAGACATCTAGGGAAGCAGCTGAAACTAGGGAAATAGGGTAAAGCAGTAAGGGACGGTGAGACAGAAGATGTACCCTAACTCTGCCTGTCAGCAATTCTGTCTATCATCAGTAGTTCCACAGGAGTTAGAATTCTTACATTGTGTACCCAAAATTCATTGTGTAGCCAAAATTCACTCAAAGACCTATCCTGTCAATAACTAAAGGAATGACATTAACATCTGATGTCACAGGGCAAGGTCTTCTACAATGATGTGGAATTGCATCACACCTCTAGTTATGATCTGATGACTTACATTAACATAGTAATAGGGGTTTTTTTACAACTTTGCAACACTTCCTATTCTTCAGAATGTCTTTTTCCTTTGATGTTGGGTTTTTTCCTCCCAAACTGATCAGGAGATTTAGTTCAACTGTAATGTTGAAATAACAATTTTGTTATATTGCATTGAGGAGTACTCCTTGTAAAAGAAACTCAAACCCTTTGTATCGCAGTACTGCAAACCAGCTATTATTCTGTTGAATAATTCATTTGTTTTTCAGCACTTCTGCCTTTTGAACATGGCACAAACTCAAGAGAATGATACCTCAATTTATGTCCACTGTTAATCATGTTCTCCAGAAGACCATCTACACTAAAACTTTGGAAGAGCAATTAACGGACAGCTACTTTACAAAACTGTTAAAGTACTGTAAAAAATGCAAACATGTTTAGATTTTTCATTTCAGTTACTTTTCATTTTAAGTATCCACGACAGAATAGACTCAGGCTGGACAAATGACTTCTACTAAAAAGAAAGACTTGCTTTAAAGGATAAATCACAATTAAGGTTGACACCAAAATCCCAGCTAACTAAAACACTAACTTTAAACCACTGATGAGATCTTTCCGAAATCTGATTAGAGCCCTTTTCACTTTCTTAATTCTCTGACCAGTCTGCCAAAATTATTTCCTCTTGCATTTCTTCTTTTGAGAAGTTCTAATCTGTGATGCACATTCAGGGAACAATCAAGGTTCACAAAAAGTGTTTCACTTTGCACAAAAAGAAAGCATTTACCTCTCCACTTCAGTCATGCTTGTTTCACTTGCATTTATTGGGCTGATAAGTATTGGGGCTGGTAGTAATGGTTCTGAAGTGTGTTCCAGCAAAGCAGATGCATCAAACTCTTTTGAGTCAGCTGGGATTTCCACCAATGTTAAAATGAATGTCTGTTCCTCCTCTGGACATCTATGATCATCGTTCACTACTATAATTTTTTCACAGAAACAAAGAAATAACAAAAATCTATTATTCAAGTTTGAAATTACACTGTTCTCTTCAGGCCCTCCCTAGCTTGAAGTATTAAATTTTAGGCACTCATTTCTCCATGGAAAGAGGCACTGGGGATATTCTTGAGACAATATGCTTCCTTTCTTCTTAGATGAGATACACATCATCTCCCCCTGGAGCCTATTAATTGCAGTGGAGTCCTGATTACCATTCAGAATGAAGAGTATTAAAAATGCCTAGTAGGGATGGAGCTTTTTAAATGGGTGTTCTTGCATTAAAGAACAATCTGCAGTTTAATTAAACTTATGTAATGGTGGTCAAATGGCCCTATGTCTTTAATTGCAACTGTCAGGTATTAAGAGTTACTTCTTTAAATGGCAGGAATCTGCTGTTTTGATGGTAAACACAAGGATTTTCCCCCTCACTGCGGACTTGAAGAAGAGGAGCTGAGAATTATAGTCTTGAATTTAATAAATGAAAAATATAAATAATTTAGTCAACAGATGGACATTAACAGATAACTGCCAACTGCCATCCATTAGAATGAAATTAAGGAGAGAACATTTGTAAAGTTTTCAAAAGATGGAAAACAACAGTGCTGCTCCATTACTTAAGACAGCTCTCATTCCTGATGATGCAAAGCTGCTGTTACTCCAATCTCAACTCACTTTGGTTCTTTATTTAATTAAAGATGATTTAAGATGCTCCATCCCAAGATCCTTGCAACAACAGAGCGTAACAACAGATGTCTAAGAAGAAGTATTAGCCCTGTCTTTTGCACATGCTCTGGAGTTACAACTTCGGACTGCAGTTTCCATGTAAAGTAAGTATTCTGGGCTTCTGACGCAGTGATTTTCCCATACCTTAGACAAGTATTGGTTCCAAACCAGCTCCATTTCAATTTGTTTTAGGGAAAAGCAGCCATCACCTTCATACCTTTCATCACATCTAATCAGTTAGGAGTTAATCTGCTGACTCACTACAGCTAAAGAGGGAAGTCTGGTTGTTTTCTTCCTTTTTCTTCCCCTCTTCTCCTTTCTCCCCTGCTCCACACTTCCACAGTCCAGCCCCTCCTACTCACACAACTCTGACAACTGGCATTCACTCGACAACTTTACGAGCCACTATAGCTCACTAAGCCAGTGGAAAACTACACAGGTCCTCTCCCTCTGTCACATTCGATTTTTGACTGGTAAGTGAGTCAGAGGCTCATAAAGGGCTCTAACAACTGCTAAGCTTTGCACCAGGTAAGCAGCAGGAGCTCACAGCAGGGAGAAGAGAGCAAGAAGTTGCCCTTCCACTGATACTTAAACTTAATGAAGTGCCATTCAAAAAGTTTCCAAGTCTAGTTTGTGTTAATGAAATGTAATGATGAGAGGCTAGGGAGGGGAATGGCACTGCGCTGTGGGTCATTATTTTTGGTAATGAAATTGATTGATTGATCAAGTCAATGAAAACATTTTTTTTAACTCAGCTTTGCGTAACCGCAATATACACAAGTGTGGGCTTTTGCTAACTTAGAATATTAGCTCATTATACCTGAAGTTTCTTCTGTGCTGCTTACACATAGTTGTTGAGAATCCTGAGCACAAGCTTCCTTCTAGAAATAACACATTTGAAATAAAACAAGTTAATAAATCTGAGAAATAACTCTAGAAAACAGGAAAGAAACAAAGCATGTCAAATGCTGAAGAGCCAAAAAATCTAATGACATCATCATTATTGCATTTTGTCAGCTTTTACTTCTAGCTATTCTAGGTTGAAGGATATTAGCCTGACAAGGACAAGAAACACTTGGGCAATACAAAATTTATATGCAGCTCATTGTCTGTATTGATGGTTTGTCAAAATAAATTTATAATTCCTACAGCACAACTCTGTCAGAGATGACTCACATAACAAATTGCCCAGTGGCACTAAGAACACAAATTCCCCCAACCATTACAAAACCACCGAGTGCTAAAGAAAAACACTAAGCTCTGCAACTCATCTATCCCTTCCCTTTCATGGCATGTACCTTTGCTAAAAACAGGAATACTCCACTGCAAGTTGCCTCTTCTTACACTCTCTGCCAGTCCTGTAAAAGCCAAATAATTCTTGTACTTTGTTCTAACATGAGATCAGCCTTGACACACCAACAGGTTGCACTGCAGAAACAAGCTACTACCCATCAGCTGTTCCACCGTAGCTGCATGTACATTGATCTCAGGCAACACTAGAAAACCTGAGGGTACTCAGAATGAACCTTTCTCTCATGAAGAAATAGGATATTTCTTGTTTATACTAGAACAGGGATACATAAACCACTGCAAAGAAATGGATGTGAAAGGTATACTGTTTATCCATGATAATATGCATGTAAAACTCTTCATTGGGTTTTGAAATAAATGGGAAAGAGTATAGCAAAGGATGAAGTTTGTTTTAAACAAAGCAAATGAAGGTGACGATGAAAACACTGCGTTCCGCAGTTACATTTTAACTTAGTTTTAATTTAAACAAATATAACAGTTAGAGGTCAGACTGAATGAATACATGAGTCCTAGGTAACTTCTTCCATCAAAACTCTTTAAAATTGCTCAAAATTTTGCTAATATATTAATCACTTACTGCTGAAACGCTATAAACTGAGGCTTGCTAAGATTACGTTTGTTTGAAAGATTAAGTTTGGTTATGCCTTTGCAAAAAAGTTTCATTCACCAGCTGAAGTACCAAGTCTTTAAAATGTGTGAGTACATTTGCACTGAAAACCTCTTCCTTTACAGAATTTCAGAAACTGGGCACTTCTAGACTGTAATGAAATTAAGTTCTTTACCTGAGTAAAGTTGATTGTGCATATATTGTGCTCAGGAGGACAAGGAATTTGCTCAGGAAGTCCATCCACAGAACTTTTATTTGGATAATCCTCTAGTCCAAGGTGAGATTTTTCAGCTTTTGGTGATGCAGTTACAGGTCTTAAATCTCCTGAATTTCCACAAGCATCTGTCATCTCTGTTCTGCAAGGTATATATCTAGTTAATTTGAAACCAACTGAAGATACCCTGTGCATGGGGCAAATTCTGTATAACTATTTATTTAATATGAAGCTTATGTAGTTACAGAGAAACAGGGAACCTGTTTAAAAACTACATCATTCTACTAAACAAAATGCATAATCTTTGAACAAGTCTACATAAAGTATTTCAGGAAAAAGCCTCCCTAACACCACTAATTGAGACTTTACTACTAAAAGCATGACCAAGCAGGAAGCCTTACAAGCTCATTAACATTTCCAAATTGATCAACTCTCTAACATTTCCTTTCAGACACAGTTTCATGGGAGACAATTAAGCAGCAAGGTGATTACTAAGTTCTGAAACAGCAAACATAAGTTAATGTTTTACCTCCAAAAGCTGTAGGATAACATGCAAGAGAGAAAAACCTTAAAAATAAAAGTCTAAACTGTACACTTACGTGCATAAACACACACAGTATCTGTAAGCACACTGTTTCCATCACAGACGCATACTACACATGCACTTCAGCTGCATATTTTAAGAGACTTTGGGAACAAAGTCAGTATTAACTGATGATTCTTCCTACCTCTCAGTTTTGTCTACTTGCTTGGAAAGTTCCATACTTCTAACTGCAAAATCATGAAGAACTGAAGAAGCACCTGCAGCTGGTCTGACCTGTTCTAGTTCCACCTTCTGCATTTCTGCAGTACCTCTCAGGGTTGTAGACTCTAAGGTATAAGAATAAAAATTAAAATAATTTTTTGTGTGTGTGCATGTGCATATATATATCATTTTTACATACAAGCTTTTGTATATTAAAATGTATGTATATGTAGATGTGTATATATAAACACACTACAAAATTATTAACAATTTTACTGTATATGTACACGTCTTAAATAAGTCAGACATACACATATCTCATCTTGCCTTTGGTATGTTGTGCATTTTGCCAGTGATATGAAGATAATTAAGAGTTTGAAGACCACCTTTTTTTGTAACTGCTTTAAGAATACCAAAACAGTTCTGTATATCTCCCCTTCTAGTTTTAATAGAAGGGAAAACAGTAATAATAGAAAAAAGTGCACTGTATTGTACTGTATATCTGTAATCGGCAGTTCAGTAATTTAAGGGCTTTCCAGATAATTTTAAGACCTGCACAGAAAAACTGCTATTCAGATTTCATTTAATTTTATACTGAAAGGTACACTTATGTATAAAACTATACCATAAATACATGCCCTGTGTTACAGTAGTGATGCATCATCTGTGAACATGAACAGAAAGTGAAGACTACTTTCAGCTTAGTTTTATTTCATAAAGAGATGTGAATCCATCAGAAGAAACCATTTTCAGAACCCTAGGATAAGAAACAAGCTTACCACTTTGAACTTGCTCTAGTTGTTCCACAAGTACATTTGTATTAAGGGACTTCTGAATTATGTTTTCATTGGACCTCAATACTCCAAAGTCTGGCTCAGGCTTCAGGAGTCTGCCTCTTGTCAGTCTCGTACTATTCACCGTAGGCAAAGAGCTATCACTGCAAGTAAAAAGGAAAATTGCCATCAGCATAGTTCTTGATTTTTGACAGTTAGTTGTGAGATGAAATTAGTACTTCCAGCAAAGATCACTGTGCAGAGAAGAGAAGAGAGATGGAGTAGATGAGATGAAGAGCTGAAATACAGGCTGCAGCTGGCAGAGGAGACAGACGACTATTTAGCAGAACAAAAAATAAAGATCATCTGGGAATCGGAACAGGCAGGTATACTGCAAACTAGGATGTTCCCTACCTACAGAAAAAAATGAATAATTGAAATATTTTAAAAACATGAGAAGATCAGAAATCTAACACTGATCACATGGTAGTAAGCTCTGGTTAATAATATAATAAAAGAACCACTGGACTTAAGAGTAAAATATCTTTGATTATAATTTTTCAGAGGAGTACAATCTGATAGTTTGTTCAAGCCATCAACAAGTTAAATTGTCTTTCAAATAATACAACATCATCACTAGCAGATTTTTTCTGAAAAGGTGTTCCATCAAGCTGTTTCAACATTTACAAATGCTTGAACAAAATTAAAAACCATAAAGCATTAAAAAACACAGAAGATCAACCGGTTCCTTGACATGCCTTTGCTCTAAAACTTTGATCTATATCCCACAGCAGCAGTGACACTTAAGCAATTTGCCTTGGCCTGATTAGCTGTAAAGTACTTTGGGAAAATGAACCTGGTAATTAACAGTGATCCATACCAACTAAGTTTGAATATTCTTTTCTCCCCCACCAGGGTAAACTTAACTTTAGCAGTGAAGAACAAGTTCTACATCCCCAAAATTATATACCAACATCCCATAAAAGTTATAAGAAAGAGACAAGAGGGGTTTTCCAGATTACATACCAAATTACATAAACTGAGAAACCTTCGCTAAAGCAAGACTGCTTGCAATTCAATAAAAATGCCAGAAGGAACCTAGCAAAAGTAAGCCATGTCAGAGGATCTCTCTCTCTAAAGAAAATGAAGTAGTAATTTAACCTGGTATCCGTAGCATTTTTCTCAAAATACTCTTCGACACCTATTCTTGTGCCAGTACTTTGATCCTCTACATTAATGTTGCTTCCATCCTCAGAAGGGATCAATTCCGTGGTAGAAGTGTCTGAAGAAAGTAAATACTGACTAGGAGTTCTATTTTGTTTGCAGTAGGCATGGGTTACAAGGCTATTGGCCATGTCCAACTCATGTTGAGCAGGTAACATGTGTGTCCATTCTGGTTAAAACAATAAACAGAATAGAAAAGCAGAATTTAAGAGACTTGGGTTTGGCATGTACATAAAGCTATTTTACAGATGTTTAACTTCAAACCTCATTTAACAAAGCCTGCATTCTCCAAAGATGCAAAGTCAAATCCCAGGTAAATGTAGTCCTAAGATCACACTTTTGATAGTAAGAATGCAGAAACTAACATTTAACTAATGAAAGCAGATAATAAATTCTAAATAAAAGTCTATCAAAAAGTAGACTAAAACCAGGTAATTTCAGGTTGTAACTAGTTAGGTGGAAAAAGCTATGCTTCAGGTTAATGGTCTGAAAAGACCACTGATAGTTATGGTCATTTAAGCCTGATTCCTTTCTTTTGTCCAATTTATGTGACCAGATTAATTCAAACATGTCCTTCCTAAAACAGGTCTCAGAAACGTCTTTCCAGCACAGTGATGTAGTTGGCAGTATCCAGTAAGGGGCCTTACTTTTGCCAGCCAGCCTGCATTGCTTAGTCTCACTATGCATTAAAATTCAGCAGGACTAAAAGCATAAAAGACTCTTGACCTCCTGCTATGCAGTGGCACGTGGAAGAGCTTTGCAGCCACTGCTGCATCCCTTAGGTGGACACAGAAAGTACAAGCAAGGCTTTGTCCCATAAATCAAATCATACCTTCAGTGCTTGTTTTTAACTGGAACATAGGATCACCCATTGCAAGTAAAGTCATGGCAGCTTCCGTGCTTCCATCATTAATTCCTACAAAGTTGTTCACACACATTAAAAGTCACAAGGATATTAACCAGAAATCCACTTACTCATATTCAAAAAACATTTGACGCTATCATCGATATAGTGAAGCGTATATTTTTTAAATTGTTGCCATTCATGAATCAAGATGCTTGTAGACAGACAGCAATTCTCATCCACTAAATTCAAACTATTGGAAAAACACTGAGCAGAAACATTGTTCCCTTTAATGGTGTACTGGCTACAGGTGGCAAGGTGTTGGCAGCAGGGGGGACTGCCCTGGACACAGCTGGTTCCAACTGACCCCCGCAGGACACAGCTGAGCCTGTCAGCCAAGATGGCGGCACCTTTGGGAAACATATTTAAGAAAAGGGGAAAATGTTGCACAGCAGTGAAGAGTGAGGGGAAAAAGAGTCAGAAACAACCCTGCGAACACCAAGGTCAGTAAGGAAGGAGGGGGAGGAGGTGCTCCATGTGTGGGACCAGATTCCCCTGCAGCCCATGGAGGAGACCTTGGTGGAGCAGGTAGATATTCCCTGAAGAAACTGCACCCTGTAGAAGACCCATGGTGGAGCAGACTTATCCTGAAGGACTGTACCACATAGGAAGGACCCCACACTGGAGCAGTTTGTGAAGGACTGTATCCCATGGGAACGACCCCACACTGCAGCAGGGGAAGAGCGTGAGGATTAAGAAGCAGCAGAGATGAAGTGTTAGGAACTGACTGCAACCCCCATTCCCCATCCCCCTGCACTGCTTGGGGGGAGGAGGCAGAGGAGTGGGAAATGAAGGTGTGAAGTTGAGCCTAAGAAGGTGGGGAAGGGAAGGTGTTTTAGTTTTTGTCTTTATTTCTCGCCATCTTACACATAGCTGGCAGTGTGCCCAGGCGGCCAACAAGGCCAGTGGCATCCTGGCCTGTATCAGCAATAGTGTGGCCAGCAGGAGTAGGGAAGTGATCGTGCCCCTGGACTCGGCACTGGTGAGGCCGCACCTCGAATACTGTGTTCAGTTTTGGGCCCCTCACTACAAGAAGGACATCGAGGTGCTGGAGCGTGTCCAGAGAAGGGCAACGAGGCTGGTGAGGGGTCTGGAGAACAAGTCTTATGAGGAGCGGCTGAGGGAACTGGGGTTGTTTAGCCTGGAGAAAAGGAGGCTGAGGGGAGACCTCATCACTCTCTACAACTACCTGAAAGGAGGTTGTAGCGAGGTGGGTGTCGGTCTCTTCTCCCAAGTAACAAGCAATAGGACAAGAGGAAA